GCTCTCCTGAGCTACAGAAGGAATGGTCTGGTGGTTAAGATAAAACACAAGTCAAACTTATTCGAGTTGTCCACAGTCAGCAATGGTGATCTTCTTGCTGGTCTTGCCATTCCTGGACCCAAAGCGCTCCATGGCCTCCACAATATTCATGCCTTCTTTCACTTTGCCAAAGACCACATGCTTGCCATCCAACCTTGAAAGGGAAGAACAATCACTATGATTGGTGACTACAAACAAGCAGTGTCCATCATGTGTCATGAACCAAGACAAGAAAGGTAGTTTTTTTTTTTTTTTACTAAAACCTTTTGTACTGTCATTAAATGTACAATTCTCCAATTACCATTGAAGAGTTACACATACAGAATGAACTGACCCCCCCCCACAAAAAATAAACACAACACAACAAAAAAAAACCTCAATCAATCGCATGTTATTAATAGTAACATAAAAGTAGCACTTAATTGGCCGGGCACAGTGGCTCACGCCTGTAATCCCAGCACTTTGGGAGGTCAAGTCGGGCAGATCACTCGAGGCCAGGAATTTGAGACCAGCCTGGCCAACATGGTAAACACCCGCTTTACTAATAATACAACAATTAGCTGGGAGTGGTGGTGCATGCCTGTAGTCCCAGCTACTTGGGAAGCTGAGGCAGAAGAATCGCGTGAACCCAGGAGCAGGTTGCAGTGAGCTGAGAGGGCACCACTGCACTCCAACCTGGGAGACAGCGAGATCCAGTCTCAAAAAAAAAAAAAAAAGCACTTAATCGGCTAGGTGCAGTGGCTCATGCCTGAATTCCCAGCACTTTGGGAGGCCAAGGCGGGTGGATCACCTTGTCAGGAGTTCAACACCAGCCTGGCCAACATGGTGAAACCCATCTCTACAAAAATACAAAAAAATCAGCCAGGTGTGGTGGCGCACATCTGTATTCTCAGCTACTCAGGAGGCCAAGGCGGGAAAATCGCTTGAACCCAGGAGGCAGAGGTTGGAGTGAGCCCAGATTGTGCCACTGCACTCCAACATGGGCAACAGAGCGAAACTGCATCTTAAAAAAAAAAAAAAAAAAAAGTCACACTTAACTGCCCAGCTAAGCGCTCAGTTTCTATTATAGTATCTGGCATTCTGTATCACATTGACTATATTTGTAGCTATGTATGCTCTTCTAGTATCTTAGGGATGAAAAAGTCTACGGAAGGAAAAGTTGAAGAAAACAACTAGTGTTTGTTCTGTTCCCCCCAGGGCAAATTTTCATTTAGTCAGGTGGTTAGTGTGCCATGTTGTACCCTTACCACTCAGTCTTGGCAGTGCAGATGAAAAACTGGGAACCATTTGTGTTGGGTCCAGCATTTGCCATGGACAAGATGCCAGGACCTGTATGCTTTAGGATGAAGTTCTCATCTTCAAATTTCTCCCCATAGATGGACTTGCCACCAGTGCCATTATGGCGTGTGAAGTCACCACCCTGTCAACATATAAGAAAACTGTCACTTCTGACAACCATAAAGTGTGCCAAATCTGCAAGGCTCAAACTTTAAAACCAAGTTCAAACTGAATAGAAGGGTTAAATAGAACCAAAATGTTAAGAGTAACAGCTCAGATATGTGTATTCTGAAATATTCTGGCTCAATACCAAATGAAGGGAGCAACCCAAATAAAATAAAATTCAGTAAATTTCGTACCTGACACATAAACCCTGGAATAATTCTGTGAAAGCAGGAACCCTTATAACCAAATCCTTTCTCTCCAGTGCTCAAAGCACGAAAATTTTCTGTTTAAAAAAAAATTAAAACACATATACACATACATTATATATATATATATTCACATACACAAATTGTCACAATTGGAACATCTTTGTTAAACTTAGAAAATGGACCAACCTGCTGTCTTTGGAACCTTGTCTGCAAACAGCTGTAAGAGAAAATTACAGTTAATTAACATCTGCTTATTTTGTTGCTTAGTACCCATGCCTTTAGGGGCTTCTGAGTCAAAAATTCATTTTCTCACTACAATACTTCTTCAGTAATTACTTTAATCCTGAGAACTGCTCCTGACAGCCATAAGGCCCTGCAGGCAGTTGGGTTAAGAAACATGAAACCCGAAGACATGCCAAAAATCCAGAACTAGTCATGACTTAAATAGTGAGACTTCTAGAAAGTGTCTCAAACTTTTAGTACATCACACCTACTTCTGAAAAGATATATGGCTTCTTAAATGTCTATCACCACCCCCAACTTGAGCTAGAACCTAAAGGCAAAATTCTAAGGAAGAGCAAGCACTGCTGCATGATCAGGGGTAAATAGCTGTTGTTTTAGCCACTCATAATGAAAATGCTACTACCTCCAATCTGTTAACATAGCTTTATGGATTAGATGAGCAGTCACTTCTTGGTTTCCAGGCCCCTTACCTAGTAGTGGGGTAAAAAATAAACATTGGTTTCTAGTATATCTGGTTTTGAACCTTTCTTGAATGCATTATGGTTAGAGAGGTAGCTTAAATACTACAAACATTTACAAGCCCTTTCATAAAAACAGCTTGTTTAAAAGTAGGATTTTATAAGCTATTCCAGAGATGTGACTGAATTAACTGTCAGTATCCGTGTACATTTCTCTTACAGCAATGTACTTTTTTTTTTTTTTTTTTTTTGAGACAGTCTCGCTCTGTCGCCAGGCTGCAGTGCAGTGGCTCACTCCAACCTCCGCCTCCCGGGTTCAAGCGATTCTCCTTGCCTCAGCCTCCGGAGTAGCTGGGATTACAGGCAAGCGCCACCACGACCAGCTAATTTTTGTATTTTTAATAGAAGTGGGGTTTCACCATGTTGGCCGGGTTGGTCTCGATCTCCTGACCTCGTTATCCGCCCGCCTGGGACTCCCAAAGTGCTGGGATTACAGGTGTGGGCCACCGCGCCTGGCCAACGTACTAATTTTTTTTAGTTTTTAGGTATTTGTACCTAGAACGTATGGTCTTTTTAAAACAGCTTTTCTCAGAGCTTTGTAGTCGGTACATTTAAGTTACTATGGCTTCCCTTTCAGACTTTCGCTAAACCCAAAGCCCTTATTGGCAGTTACCCCTCCATTCTCACCAAGACCTGCAAGTCCTTTCTCACTTCCCTTAAGCTCTCTGGGTAACCCGATGCTCAGTATTAGATCAGGCCAAGTTTCCACGAAAGCCCTTGTCACTTACCAGCTTTGACTACAGTCATAGGTGGGGTGGGGTGTGGATTAACACGCAGTGTTTCAGTGCCTATTAAGTGCCAGGCACTACGGACAGGGTAGGCAACAAGGAAACCGCCCTGTCCTCAGGAAGACTGCATGAGGATCGATCTGGTAGCCTTTTGAGATGTGGTTTAAAGTAATAAAATCACTAATATCCTATTTCGCTACTCCCTAAGGTCTATCCATGTTAACTGGAATGGAATCGCACTCAATATTTAACTTGTAAGACATACGCCAAGTTTAGATATTATGCTGTAATTAGAACTGATCTTTAAGAACTCATTTAACGCTCTCAAAACTAATTAGGTAATCACTGGTAATCCACCTTGGTCGGAAGAAGCCTGCCTTGTGGCCAGTCGCTACTCGCCTGGTAGGCAAAGGGACAATCGGGAGGGGCTCAAGAGCGCCTCCCCCGCCAACGCCGTCACTGCAGTGGAAGGCGGTCCTTGGGCACCAGCAAAGGCAAGGCCCATTTTCACATTTCCGCTTGGGGGTGGGGGACACGGGCGGACGCTGGGGCTCATGTATAAATATTCCTACTTTATCTAAATGGAAGATACTTCAAGCGGCAATCCATCACATCCCAGCATTATCTCCTTTTATAGCATGGCCTCCCGGGATCTACAGAAGGACTGAGCATGGACCGGCTCACACCGCGCCTCGATCCTTGAGAAAAACCCTCAAGCAAGCAGCTTCCCAGCTCAGGATGTAAAGCACCCGTGCCTGCCGAGGGACAGCTTCCCAGGAAAGCGGTCGTGAGCGCGCTTCTGGCTCCGGTCTGCGACGCCCAGGCCGAGCTAGGGCGGAGCCCAACGGCTCTCAAGGCGCGGGCCTG